AAAAAAAAAAAAAAAAAAAGAAAGAAAAGAGAAATCTAAATGTATTTCAAAAGCGGTTGTTTTCGTTTTCATGGAAATGATAGCCACAATATCGTTCATTATCGTTATGAGTGCTCCGATATATTAGATTCATTCAGCCAGTCTTATGAAGTCTACAGTACTTCGAATTCTAATTGCCATACAGTATAAAGGCTTTGAACCACTATATCATGATGGCAGCCATGACAGGATACGCATCAATAGAGTGCTTTTCTCTTTGGGAAACGAAATTCTTTTCAATCAGATGAGACCAGATTCAATTGTTCCTGCCTCCTGTCATGGCTGCCATCACGTGATGGTGCAAAGCTAGCCTCTATAGCTAACTTGAAATTGTAAGAAATTGTGTGGAGGATAAAGTAAACAAGCTTATTAGGTTAAAAATAGCTTGAACATACATATGGTATTAACATGGTATCTGTATAAAAACTATAGATTTAAAAAACTATAAACTAAAAAAATTAAGTAGATATTTKAATCATTTTTCTGCAATAAAAATGATAAGGTATAAGAATATCTTAACGCTGGATATAGAAAGCACTAGAGTATATTATGGTAAAAACACAGAATTACAAAGAGACATTGAGCTGCGGATCAAATGATCTAAAATTGAATGAAAAAATCTAGAAACGGACGAAATCATTCGGGGGGAAATCCAATTATAGATCATGGTAAAAAAATAAGGAACCGAAGCGCGGCACTAAAGGAAAACAGGAAGACTGAGCGTTGAAAGTTGTTAAACGATGAGTCCGTGTCCGAAGGTAATCAACTCGATTTATGTTAAACCCTGAAATAGCCTCTTGGTTGCTGCAGGGCGAAGCTAACTACTGATCGAACCATTAAGCAACCTCTGGGCTGATCTAAGTCAGGGCACGGCTAACTCACAGATTGAACCATGAAGCAACCTCTGGGTTGATCTAAGTCAGGGCACGGCTAACTCACAGATCGAACCATTGAGCAACCTCTGGGCTGATCTAAGTCAGGGCGAAGCTAACTTACAGATCGAATCCTGAAACAACCTCTGGGCTGATCTAAGTCAGGGCATGGCTAACTCACAGATCGAACCTTGAAACAACCTCTGGGCTGATGTAAGTCAGGGCATGGCTAACTCAAAGATTGAACCCTGAAACAACCTCTGGGCTGATCTAAGTCAGAGCATGGATAACTCACAGATCGAACCCTGAAACAACATCAGGGCTGATCTAAGTCAGGGCGCGGCTAACTCACAGATCAAACCCTGAAACAACCTCTGGGCTGATCTAAGTCAGGGCACGGCTAACTCACAGATCGAATTGGAATTTTGCGTGTTAAATTTTGTGGAGGAAAGAAAACCGGAGAACCGGCCGAGACAGTCCAGAGGTGAGAGAGGCGAGTGCATTAGTACCACTACACCACTATCAATTGGACAAAGGGAGGTTACAACAAGGCTAAATTCGAAAAGTTCGTTCAACTAGTAAAAGTGTTTCTAACGACTGAAGTAATTTACGTACGATGCAAGAAATTTACCTGTTGCTGGTCAGACAGACAGATTCTAGAGCTTCACCTGAAGTAGTGAAATAGCAAATTCAAATGGATATTCTTGACGCTTCCTGGTTTAGATCCATTTCTAACAAGTTAAAACCTAGAATATTAGAAGACCTATACAGACGTACAATGCTATGTTGTCATGGTACTATGACTTGACAACATCATTGGCCTAGAAGCCGTTTTGAGATTTTTTATTGGTCGAGTTGAGTATCACTAACTGGTCAGTGATTGGCTGGTTTTATGACGGCATTGTCTTTAAAGGCAATTGCAATCTGCTTTAGAAACAGTCGCTTTTAGTAGGGTAAGACGTGCAGAAAGGTAGATCAATATTTCATAGCGTTTGTATAATATTTTTCTAGCTGGTTTAATGTTGAATCAAGCACTGATGAAACAGGTATCATGGAATATCTCGGAACGATAAACTTAGGTGTAAGAATAAGCGTGAAAAATAGAAAGAAAGAAAAAAAGGAAAGAAACTGAGAAAGGAAAAAGAAAAGGAAGGAAGGAAAGAAAGAAAGATATATATAAAAGAAAAAATAAACGAAGGACATACATATATAGAAAAATCGGAGGAAAGAGAAAATATAAATAACCATAATCCGACTTCCAGCTACAACTTTGTGAATATATTTTTATTCCCAAATATTTTGTACGATTATATCCGATCTATAACAAAAAGTTTCAGGTTCTTACATTACTCAGGAACTAAAAATCTCCCCGCATGACCCATTAGGTTATAGTGATCCGGCCCTAATTTACCGGCTCCCCCCCAGCCATAAAACACAACTAATCCATTTGAAAAAACTAAAACATTTGAAACTTGATGTTTTGCGACCTATCAATTGAAAACAGTTTTGAAGGAATTATCATAGGGGCAGGTGATGTTATGACAGGTGATCTACTGGTATATATTGAAAGGAAATGGGTTTATGAAAATGTTCCTAATGAGGGATTTCCCCCAAACAGTAAAATAATTATTAGATTCAGTAATTAGTAGGTTCAGTAAGACATCGGGTGGTGGTAGTGGCAAAGGTAGTGCTAGTGGTGGCAGTTGGTAGTGGTGGTGTAGTGGTGGTGGTGGTAGCGGTGGTGGTAGTGGTGGTTGTAGTGGTGGTGGTGGTAGCGGTGAGTGGTAGTGGTGGGTGGTAGTGGTGAGTGGTAGTGGTGAGTGGTAGTGGTGAGTGGTAGTGGTGAGTGGTAGTAGTGGTAGTGGTGAGTG